CGTCGTCCATCAAACGGCTGCGCTCATTTTCTTACACAAGAAAGGCTACTACGTCTTAGCCGTTCTACCAAACCAGACAGTTTGTTTATTCAAAGTTGGAAATAAGATGCTTAAAAGTTGTGAGTGATTACACCAATAGTCCCTCAAACATTATGCATCTGAAGAAAATATATTGAAAAACGAAAACTTGTTAACTTAGATAAGTCTCGAAAAGGCTGGCTTTTAGTTACCTTTGCTAAGTCTGATTGACTCCACGGCGAAAAGTTATGTACTGCTTGGAAGCACGAATCAGGCTACCTCGATGACATATTAAGGTGTCCAATCGTTTTGGTTAAGATTTCACTTGAGTGGACTATGACAATATGCGAATGTCGAGGACCATTTTTTGTTCGTCCAAAGCAAATGACCTTTTTGTACAACTGGACCAGAAAATGTATACTTTTAAGGGATTCTGCGTGACGCAAGCTTGGCATGAGTAATAAATCAACGAAATCAGTACATAGAATTCGTCTGTGAATACAAGTTCTTAGCTTCCATCAACACCTAGCGTCTAACTTCAGTACTGATCCTAAGCTACTCTACATGCGTATAAACTAATTCCACAGTTCAGCGAGGAATCCCCATTCTAAGTGGGGTAGGTAGTCTGGCGTTATCTATACACCACGAGGCATACGAGATTCGGCAACACTGCATCTGCACATTCTAAAGTAAATAATCACTTTATCCGCTATTGAAGCAACTCAATATGTCCCCACGGCGAAGACAATTAAATTTCACTGAGGCAAATATGATAAAAAGACTATTGTTATTGCGCGCGCACGGCTCTCCTGATGTGGATGACATAAAACCGAAGAGATTAAAGATAGCCACCATAAATATCGCCGAGATACTAGCACGGTTCCTTCAACAAGCGTTGGTGAAAGTCAGTTTTCTACAAGATGGTAACAGCGAATATTCACGCCTGTTTCGAAGTGACCATCGTGCGCTACACTCGAAATGCCGTCGAGTCCCGCTCTTCTCCGTGCTATTCAACGTTACGGAAGTTATTAACGCAAAGTCGATCATGAAACACCCTGCGAGTAATAACACCATGGTATCACTACATCACGGATTTCGCCGAGATCGGTCCTGCACTACCAAATGGCTGCTAGTACGAGGAATCTGGAATGAGTCCGTCAATGTCAGGTTAGGTGTCAACATTATATACCTGGACTTCTCTAAAGCGTTCGACGGTCTGGACCACCGCATTCTTCTGCACAAATTTCGAAGCGGTGGAAGCAGTGAGCTTGTCCCTGGTTGTATTGTCCATTTCCTCATTCAATGTCAGTTGAATGTAAGAGTTCGTAGCATAGTTTCTGACCCAAATGAAGTCCGATGTTCTATACCCCGAGGATTGGCACTGTGAGCATTTTCTGCTTTGTTAGTTGTCATCAAAGATTTTACTAGTGCGCTGCATCCAGACTTCGTACTTGTAAAAGATATCAGAATTTGGCATGATATCAAGGCATTCGTCGACCACACGTCACGGGAGAGAGATCTCCACAGGGCCTCTACTGTTTATCCGGCTCCGATTTTATTTGGCAAGGCGCACAGTATTGAGTATATGCCATCAGTGTAATCATTAATATTGTATGGGAAAACAGCAATTACAACACGCTACACAGAAAAGTAAACTCGGAGTGATCGTACAGAATTAATTTGTCAACCCAAAGAAGGCTGACTATGCGATTTTTATTACCAATCGGGACGTTGAGCTCTTAGGTTTGGCGTTTCGGAATTTCAGTCTATCTCTTTGTTTGTCAATGTTAGACTCCTATGTGAGGCCTCAAGTGGAATGTGAGATCCAAGCCTATTCACCCTGTCCCAACCAAGTGATTAAAACGTTTAAAATGCCACAAGGTAGAGCGACGAAAATCATTAGGGGTACGTTGCACCTCTCCCACCAACGCAGACTACAAGACCTGGAATCATACAGCGTTAAATATCTGCGTATGCGAGGAGAAGTTATGATGGCTTACTTAATGCTGTTTATTCCCATTACGCCTGTTATGATCCGGTACCATTCAGCCACAATACCAACATGACAGTTCACCGTCTCAATCTGGCCACACACTACGGTCCACTTTATGGTCAAGTAATCGTTTTCTACCATCGTGTATCCAGAACCTGGAATGCCCTTCCAGTTCATGTTATATTTACCAAGGCATGTGCGCTTTTTACAAAAGCATAGACTACATATATTCCATTTACATTACGTGACCTTGTCTGTTTCACTCGGGAGACGAAATAGTGCGAACCTAACAGCGTGCTCGATAGCCCATTCCGACACGTACCAGTGAGGAGAGTGGCATGTGTTTTCATGTGAATAACTCGGTGAGTAAGCTTAAACCCGAGTTTTCTCTTTTTCTTTTCATTTTAAACCTTGCTTTATTAATCATCACTCCGTGCTTCCTACGCAACTCACAAATATTCGCTTCCTTTATGTGTTTATATCATAATTGATTGTTTATTATATTCTGCCTGGTATATATGTTTCTTTTGCCGCATTGAGTATTTTTCTTTTAACCCATGAATATTGAGTGTTAGACTTGGCACACTGCTACTCGATGTTCATTATAGACGATGTTAGCCATTTGGCTTACTCCAAATTCGCCTAACCACTGTTTCTGCTAACGCTATCATCCTTTCGTGTAACTATTGCGTTTTATCTTTTTCATCCACTTAAAGTTTAAAATTGCCATCTTCAGCGGTCAAGCAGGCATAAGCTTACCGAAAGAAATTCTCACTAAAGCGAATTTAGATTTATGCGCCTTCACAACCCATAAACTTTTGATGCAACATTTGAGCCGGGATACACGGTTCTTAAGTTACGCTGCCCCAGATCATCCTGTAAGCCCAATAATTGTTCAGGAATCCATGTTTTATTCATGCTGGACGTTGCAGCAAAGTTATCGTTCATCTTGTATGGTTCTGCCGCCATTACTGCTAGCTGTCTTACCGTGTTCAGTATAACCCTGAGGTTATCTTAATCGATAAGCCTGGGATGCTTTTGAAAGTCAACTGAAGCAAAAAAGGACACTCCCAGGTCAAACTGCTGCGCACGGAGAATCTAAATATATAGAATAATGTTTTCGTTACTTGGAGGTGGTTCGATGTTGCTCCATCCCAATCCGACACCCGATAACCGGTTTCGTCCTTGTTTGGAAGCATCAGATGGAGATAGTCTGAGTTGGAGTGGAACTCGGGGACTGTTGGTTAACGGGTAACCTCTTGATCATTATGGCGCTAAGATTTGTGCACAACGCTTGGCACATAGGTAAGGATTTCACAGTTGCATTTAGAGTACACTCTGCGTGGTTGGATTGCGGCACGCAATCTCTATTATGACCTTGGGTCATTTTGAAGTAGACCTCTATCATTACGATTACTAGGACCGTATCCAAACTAGAGCTTGTTCAGTGTTGCTCCTCCTAACCTTATTTTACTTACGGGAACAGTGGATGCTGCTATCTTTGGCTCGGATACAAGACTTTACAAGACCATATACTCCCACAACTCTACCTTTCGTTTTACTTGCTATCCTACCTACAATATTAACTACCTTGTTGCAGCTACTACTGCAATCACACCAAATGGTAGGATTTGCGACAGTAGTGAACACAGACAGTTGGTGAGTAAGCTTAGTTCACCCACCTTGGCAATCCTTCCCAATTGTTGACCTGACTAGTGGAGCTTGTTTAATGTTCTTTACAATATGATCACATGTTGATGATTTGGAGCTCAAGACTAAGTTATTTTGCAAAGAATTGGGCTGGGTACTGGTCCGATTGTTGTACATTGCGATTATCCCAGTGTTAAACTACGAGGATTTGAGAAATAAGGTCACACACAAGAATGCCCACTTATCCAAATAATCCCACTTACAAATCCTCGAACGCCAGATCTGTAGAGAGATTTAAATTCGTAAAAACTGCTTTTACTGCTCCAGAAAGGATGGTGTTTGAGCTGTTTTCAAAAACCTTTTTGTAATCAATGTTTTGCGTTGGAGTTCAAGCATATCGGAAGATTTATTGTTGTTGAGTCCAGTTAGTATTATTTCTGCTTTTGTACCTCCACTATTAACAACATCCACCAATTCGAATACCATAATTCAACCTACCTGTTTGGCGCTATGCCACCAGTAAGTGACCAACCTGGACAAAAGTGCCACCAAAATTGAGTGATTTGGTACCTCCGTGACCTTAATGACATGGGCTAGAACTATGCTTTGCAGTGTGGTCAATTCAAATTAGACCAGTGCATTTCAAAACAGAATTTCTCGAACTTTGGTGCTGAACGTTCGTTACCACAACAGCTGTCCACGACTTGGTATGGCTTTTTAGGCATAGCAATAGTACGATCAACAGCACCATACGTCTACCATAGTTACTTTTCTTTCTAAGATTTACAAGGGTATGATAGACCTGATGAATTGTCCGAACAGAAACTTATGTTGCTCTAATCGCACCAACTTGGTAGTGTGCATTTAAGAAAGCAGCCCATCTGCAGTACAAACCACCGTTGTTCGTTCCTCTTAGGCAAATCATATTTATCTGAATTAGCAGTTGAAGAAAACTATTCAACCGAAAACACAACACTGGAAGTATGGCGATATTCGACCCAGATCAACGACATAGTGTATGAACGTTTACTCCGTCACTCGTCCAAATGTTAAAAGTGTTCTTAAATACACCGAAACTTAGTTCAGAGAAGACAAACTACCATTAAAAATCAGTCTGGAATAGCAACACCCATTCTTAAACTGCAGCTGCAATTGCACCCACTCTCTATGTTTTAAGGGATAAGTGGAATGTGGATTGTCATAATATAGCCTATGCATTGCATATGTTATCGGTTTAGGCGCACTATGAAGATCTAATCCATTTGTTTTCTATTTTGAACCTAGTGCACACAGTGTCTATTGATTACTAGTGCTTGGATTTTCATTACTCTATTCACAGCACCTGGGTCTCCGCCTCAGACGTTGCGTGCCACGGTGGTGTCTCCAAACTCGATCACAGTCGCTTGGAGGCCGCCTACGGAATCCAATGGGCGCATTACGGTGAGGTGCATCCCAACTGAAATCGAAAGCAATTCTAATATTTTCCACTAAACGTAGCCTTTTACAATTTAGTGTCTTTGGTTATCTCAATAAAAGCGCCAAGTCTATTTAAATTGTTTCTCTAGCTGTAAGTACCAGCAGATAAAAAGCCATCCAAAATGAATTACGGAAAAGAATGTATGGCTTTTACTAGTCAATATAGCAGATGAGTCACGACCGGATACAGTCAGATTGTTACCGTACTACGTGACATACGGGGACTAATCGGCTCCGTACGAGAGAAGGGCAGTAGATTCGATCCCCTATGGGGTAGGGCAAATGTGCACTGCTAATGTGTCCGGACTGGCGCATCGTTTGCTCTTTGTTTCTTCGGGCCTATTTTACCACGGAGGAGGCGGATCACCTACGCAGCATTAGTATTAATCACCTGTAAACATATTACGGTAAACAACAAAGAAGGGGATCAAGTGTACTGGCGTCTGGTGTGTTTTGCGATTGGTCGGAAAAGTAAATCCAAAATAAGACATTAGCTGCTTAGCATCGAATGAAACAATGATCACTTCGCGCACATGAAACACTAGTTACTTTTCAAATGCTGTAATCCTACCCACTACCCTCAGCAGTCGTGATATAAGAAGAGCTTGAATTAGAACTCACAGTCTTCGGAGATAAGTTATCTTTAGACGACAGTAGGAAATAATCATAGTATCACTTGCTGATGCCCTTACAACTTTCTCCTTCACGATGAACCTTCAACGAATGATGTGCATTATGTTTCGTCGAGGCTCAGCTCATCCGCTAGTGACTGAATTGCGTGGGTAAGTCACTGGCCTAACCATATTTCATCTTAGCGGCTGGTTAGCGTTTTACGGCTAGCGACACGGTTCGGTTCCCAACCAGCGTATTGGAGCTTCGGGGAATAGAATGCCTTACATGCTGTACAGACCGCCACAATGGGAGTCTGTACTTCCACAAGGGCATCACGAATGCAATTACCGGTTCAGCGTGGGTTAGACCAGAGTGCAAACTGTTTGGTACCTGGTCAACAGTAGCAGAAGACGTAAAGTTGAATCACCCCATTACCGAGCAGCGTTAGTGAACTAATGGGTGTCCAGATTTTTGTAACTATAATGAAGATGGAACTTGTAGCCGTCTCATTTTGATTTCATCTGGAATGGCCTCTCGGCGAACAAAGTGTTCAAGGTGGCTGTGCTGACATACTAACGAAGTAATAGGCGAAAAAAACGAAACCCTAGGCTTAATTCGTTATTATTTAAATAATTCATAGTACCAGCAGCTATCAAACAGGTTAATTAAGATTACCAAAGTCGTCCCCCGCTTTACTTTCCCATAAGGAACTGATATCAATTCAAGTTTCCCAGTATATAATACGTAAATTCTAATTTCGTTTAAAACCCGTCATTTTTACTGCGAGTAAGTAACGCCCCCCTTTACAATGTTAAAACTTTCTATTATTTTAATCCCTTTATATTATCTTGATTGGCCATCCGTACGGTAAACGTATGGATTTGTGCTCACATCTATCACCGTAACGCTTTTGTGAATTTTCGGATCAGCATGCTACGTCAGGCAAATGGTGTTCACTAAGCCACTCCTAGCCTGTCCCTATGAATATAGATGTTTTAGCACATTTTATGATTACGAAGATATTCATATCACATTTAGTCTATAAAACGATATGAACTTCATCCTTTAGATTGAAAACGTGTCACAAATTGTGGGTTGCACGTTAGGTTAGCACAATTTTCTTCCCCCATGGCAGTCAGGCATTCCATGCATTTGAGCTCATCTAACACTACGTTACTGGTTCTTTAGGTTGCTTATCAAGCAATTGTCTATTACGTTTTCACCAGTAGCGAAGTGGATCCCAAATATAAGGTTGTTTAAGTATCCTCCTCAACGATTCCAATGCAGGTACTAAACCGAGCATTAACTAAAAATGTTTCACAGTGTTTAACATTGGTGATACAAATTTTCCTTTTCCTCCGCATACCTAACTACAAACGTTTTGATATGCAGTATTAATATACTTCAACCCTAGGATAACATAGCACATTCCACGCATCTCTCCATTTACCGCCAATGGATTTCGAAATTCCAATAGGAAAGCGTTTGAGGATTTGCAGACATCACGTACTTTCCTTCACATCCATTTCAACAAAGACACGATGAATTTGAAGACGTTTATTATAACCCGATGGTATAGGTCACAATATTGCTGCCCTCAATTTAGCACTCATTAGTTAAGGCATCAAGGTGATCTCCTCTGAGCTTTTAACGCATGAAATATGCATAAGGACTGGTGCTGTCGACTGGCTATGTGGGGTGCAGTCGTAATTCAAGATAATTCACCTACTTACGAGTAGCTAATAAATGAAGGTGTTTTGCAGCACGCCGGTGGCTGGTTTTGATTCCTACGCCTATTCGAGAGCGAATTGTAGTGCACAGCGTGAAAGATAGTTTTGAGTTTGTGGATATCGTGCATGAAGTAAATGTTTCCAATCTAACCATGTGCTCCCTCGACGTTACTCCTCTGTTCACCAACATACCATTAGTTGCGACTTTAAACTACATCTGTATGTTGATGCAAACCACATTAATGTTGGCATACCCACGGTGATCCTAAAGGAACTATTGCTCAGATGCACATTCAATGTTCAGTTGCTATTCAATGGCGGATTGTACCGGCAGTGCGATGGGCTAGCGATGGGTTCCCCACTGGGTCCGTTCCTCGCCGACGTCTTCATAGGCATGCTGGAACAGGGAAAGCTAAAGTCAACGATCTCAAGTCTCAGTTTATAGTGCCGGTACGTAGACTACATTTAGTCGTGCTTCAGTCGTCTGGAAGTACCGAGGAACTAACAAACATGTTCAACCAAGGTCACCTAGCAATAAAATTCACCTAATAAATTGAGGAAAACAGTCGCTTTCATTTCCTAGATGTCGCCATGAAAAGACTAGATGGGGGTGCGCTACAACGCTGCGTCTATAAGAAAAGTACGTGGAATGGGCAGTACACAAACTTCTACAGTTTTGTGCCACTTAAGTTTAAACGGAACTTGATAAATACCCTAGTGAGTCGAGCTGAACGTATCTGCTCGAACGACATGCTTGCGGAAGAATTGGAGTGCATTTGGTTAGTGTTAAAGGGAAATGGCTATCCAGAAAGCTTCATCAGAGCCAACATGGAATATAAGAAAAAATAACCTGTAGTTTTGACAGTATAACGTAAGCCAATCTTCCTACAGCTGACATACAAGGGCGAAGTTGCGAAGGAACTTCTATCTCGTCGTCTTTGCACTCAGACGCACCTATCCAGCAGCGCAGATGCAAATCCAGTTCACCAGCGTTCCGATGGTGAGACTAGACTCAAGGGATAAGAGGCCTGTCCACACCAACTCAATGTGCATCTACTCGTTTTCATGCTCCAGTGGAGCGGAATACATTGGTCGCACGACACGGCGTCTATCTGAGAGAATGAAGGAACACCACCCGGTCGGGCTAAGAACTGGAAGCAGAAATACAGCGAAATCTTTAGTCGTGCACCTAGCCAATACAGGGCACGACACAAACTTCACTGATTTATTCAAAATTATCTATCAGACCCCAAAGAATCGCTCGAACTACGTCCGCAAACGACTACTAGAACCGCTGAGGCAATTGCGATCCGGTTGTATGAACCTGAGCTATGTGTTCAGAAGATGCTAACTAAAGCGTCGGGACTACCCTGACCCAAACGGCTGGTGACCTCTGACCCACGAGGTCACACGCGGTCGGTTGTCGTGGCTTAACAGAGCGCTGTCAGCATCCAATTAACTCGCTCTAGTAGTAACGACTTGTTATGTCCGTCTGCACATTTTGATTTGCATATAATTGTATAAGCCTGAAGATGAATTATCGAAAACATATGTTCGCTTATCCTGACTTCTGATCACACCGGACAAACTTGATTTCAGTTGGCTGACCACCCTAACCCAATCTCGTTGGAATTTAACATTAGCATTTGGGTAAGAAGTCATCGAGTAACCATGTGAATTCTTCCCGATGCTGTTCACTGCATACACTGGGATTCCCAATTGGCATCTTCTTTATTTGGCTGAACCAGGTAGTGCCTCTCTTTCCCACGAGGAAACTAGAATATCTTTGTAACATTGTGCCCTTACCTCTTAAGTCTCAAGAAACACTATCTTTAAAGTTACCGGCAATATTTTATGCAGTGGCGATATGAGCATCATGGGCTACCTTGCAAAAAAAACAGCGCGGAATTAATCCTGTTCCCTCCCACATTTACAACGGACCAAAACGAAGTTTCCGTCAAGTTTAAGCACAGTCCCAGCCGATGCCGACTAAGGTAACCTGGGTAGATTGCGCGTATCAACTATTAGAGACGATTCACCTCTGTTTTAGATATGGTCCCAGTGACAGAAGAGCCCAAAGATTGCTTCAGACTGAAGCACGATAGAATTGTGATTTTGTATCGCAGTCCGTCCACACAATGGTTGCTTCAAAGTGATTCCTCAATGTATTCATTCGCCGAATGTTTCCGCGTCCCACTGACAGCCATCAAACATGGGTAGCGCCAACAGATGAGAATGTGGTTGTTTGGCTGTTTGGTCATTAAAGTCGTAAACCTGCAGTACGTTATTATAATCTGTAAAGGATTTGGCGGGAGCAGTGAGAACCTCCGGAATTTGCATGTAGAACGTATAGGAAGCAGAGGACCGAAGTCTTAACTGAACGATTGTATGGACACAACAAGAATGCGGAACAACAGTTTTAGTACTTAAAGCGATATCGAATGAGGTGAGGCGACCAATCATAAGCACGAACACATCCAGTCAGGTGAATTTTACTAGCTTATAAAAGTAGCGTGCCAAATCCGACATAAAACGCAAGAGAATACACCGTTGCCCCCCTCCGTCAGTTAAAGGCAAATAAGTCTTTCATGCAAATGTACCGGGCACAATTATATGCAGATC